TGAGGGACAGCAACCCAGCCCCCGGCTCAAAAAGGTTGCCCACCCCTGCTCTTGATAATACCTAGGAGTTTATCACATGGGGGAAATTGGGAGTTTAAACAATGACTAACCCATGAAAATTGCACAATTAACATTAAAATGTACTTAAAATGACATTAACTCAAGTGCCATTATCCCGTGAAGAACTAGGGAATAGCCAGGCAAGAAACAGCAAAAAGTAATTCACAGGAAAATTCTGTGAATGAGTTACTGTTGTTTCTTGCCGGATTCTTCACGGGACAATGGCACTTTAATCACGTTTTGTCTCAATGTCATGTGAAAACCATTTGTGCAATTGCATGCAAGTGCGGGTTAATTACAGATTCTGCATAGGATAACAGTGTTTTGTGCGCTGACATTGTGTGAAAACCATTCGCACAATTGCGGGTTAATCACTGTTTATACTTCCAATTTTCCTCCATGTGATAAACTCCCTAGTGAATATTGAATACTCTGCTGGCAAAAAATTTTTAATATAATTCTGAAGGAGAACTATTGGCCTCTGAGATTTTGACAAAGCCAACACAGTTGATCTCTTGCAAACCTCACTATCTTGCAGGACTAAAGTTAACATAATTGATTTTGTATGCACAGGTGTCTTATTATTCTGAGAAAGCCTATAGTGTATAGTGCATCTTCAGGTGGTAGATCAGAGCTGACAGTTGCATACCCTCCAGCATTTAACAGATTAAAACTGGGCTATGCATGCCACAGCTTTCCTGAGTTTGCAAGATCTGAGCTGTCTTGGAGGACTCAGGTTCACATACTCGAAAATTGACTGAGGACACTCTGGGTTTCATGGCTAAGCTGGGAATCGAACCCTGATCTCCAGAGTCGTAGTCAAGCACTCAAACCACTATACCATGCTGACAGCATATTAACAATAAATAAAAGTACACACATTCATACCTTGCTTCCTTAGTACAGGAACTAACTGGAGGCAAGGTCATAAATAGCTGCTGCAAAGAATGGAGGCAAAATCCACCCGTTTGTTCAGTGTGTCGCTAGCAGTGTTGTAAAAGCCAGTGTAATGTAGTGGTTTGAGCAATGGACTCTGGAGATCAGGGTTCAAAATCCCCGCTCAGCTACAGAAACTCAGTGGGTGACCTTGGGCAAGTCACATGCTCTCAGCTTCAGGGGAAGGCATTGGTAAACCTCCTCTGAACAACTCTTGTCAAGAAAACCCCATGATAGGTTTGCCTTAGGATTGCCATAAGTTAGAAACGACTTGAAGGCACACAAGTGTTCGGTGAGGACTTCCTTAGGAGCCCAGTCACTCACTCTACCTGGTCTACCTCACAGGGTTGTTGTGAATGCAAGACAAACCTGTGTTGGTTTGGAAAATCAGTATGCAAAGGGATCTTGCATAGGGTGATGGTATGTACCGTCTTAAACAGGACAGTATCGTTTTTAAAAAAATTCCAGACCGTCCCATCATTTTAATATAAATGTCATATTTTGTCCTGTTTTCTAGAAAAATGCCCTGTTGTGTTGCAAAAATGGTTTGAAGATCCCTGTTTGAAATTGTGTTTGTCAAAAAAAAAATGTGTCATGGCATGTGAGATGTTTTATGAGAAGGTGTTGAAAGACTGACATTTGCTGCGTAAGATTATTTGATTGGAGAAATATTAATGATATGATTGTGGCACAATACAGTCCCCCACTACAACTACCTACATTTTTGTATGCGTTTGGTCACTGAAGAATAATTGTTAGCTGAGTATGTTACCGTACTAAAACTTCTGTTATCGTTTTACAATATTCCACAGAATATTGCATAATCCCATCCAATTTTTGTCTCAAGGAAATATAGGTCCAAAACACACTGCAGAAATAATCCAGTTTGAGACTGCTTTAATTGTCCTGGCTCAATGCTATGGAATCCTGGGAATTGTAGTTTATTGTGGCACCAGAGCTTTCTGACAGAAAAGGCTCAATGTCTCAGAAAAAGAGAGTTCCCAGAATTCCATAGCATTGAGCCAGATCAGTTAAAGCGGTCTCAAACTGGATTATTTTTGTAAAGTAGACGAAGCCTACGTGGTTGATAAAGGACTGCGATGAATGATGGAGTTTCCTTCTGGCATCTCTTCTATACTGTGGAAACAAAGGAGCATGACACCGCTTTAACTGCCATGGCTCCATCCTATGGAATGCTGGGATTTGTAGTTTTGTGAGACAGCCTGGTCTGACAGAAATCTCTTGTGCCTCTTGTTGTGTGCCTTCAATCGTTTCCGACTGATGGCGACCCCTATCATGGAGTTTTTTTGGCAAGATTCGTTCAAAGGAGGTTTGCCATGGCCTTCCCCTGAGGCTGAGAGAGTGTGACCTGCCCAACGCTTTACATGGCTGAGCGGGGAATCGAACCCTTGTCTACGGAGTCCTAGTCCAACGCTCAAACCACTACCCAACCCTATGTCTCGTGGTGAAGGTCCCCCCCACCAAACTACAAATCCCAGGAATCTATAGGATAGAGTCACGGCGGTTAAAGAGTCAAACGGCTTTAATGGGGAAGACAAGCGCGAGGTCCTTTCTCTGCTCTCATTGGCTGAAAGGCCACGTCCTCTACCCAATGGAGAAGAGGGGTGGGCTCAATCTGGTAGGGCGCATTGATCTGGTTGGATGGAAGCCCTGTAAGTCACCGCGGAGGTGACTGTCTGGAGGCGTTGCCTCACAGAGGCCCCTGGCGACGACGGTTAAACCCTCCGAGAGGGGAGGAGCGCCTCACTCCTTAAAGCGGCTTCTTCCGCCCTTTCCCCACGGGCTATTGGCTGATGCCCCCGTCGCTCAGCGGAAAGGGGCGGCCCCTGCTCTCCGATAGGCTGAGGGTGGGGCTGAGGCGCGCTAAGGATCTGCCGGGCGATGGGCGGCGGGTGAAGGAGCGGAAGGATGGTGATGGCGGGAGGGACGAAAAGGGCGTCCGGGAGAAGGCCAACGCTGCCTGGCTGCTTCCTCCGGGCCGCCGTACTCTGGGTGCTGCTACCGCTGCCGCTCGACGCCGCAGGTAAAACCACCGAAGGAGGGCGCATCCACACTGTGGGAATAACGCAGTTCCAGACCGCTTTAACTGCCTTAGCTCCCTCCTATGGAATCCTGGGGTTTGTAGTGGTGCCACAACAAGTTACGCTTCCCAGACGTGCACAGCATGGAGCCATGGCAGTTAAAGCGGTGTCGAACCGGGCTATTTCTTCAGTACGGATGCAAGTTAAAGGTCCCTTAACTTTCCCAAGTGCTGCGGCTCCATCCTATGGGATCCTGGGATTTGTAGCTTTACAAGGTCTTCAGCCTTCTCTGCCAACGATTGCGGGGGCCTCTCGCCAAACTACAAATCCCAGGATTCTGTAGGATGGCGCCGTGACAGCTAAAGTGTCAGACTGCGTGATCTCTGCAGTGTAGATGCTTTCTTGGAAAACCATTTTAAGTGCTTGTAGGTCCATCCTGTGGAATCATAGCGTTTGTAGTTTGAACCAAGTCTCTAGCCTTCATTGCCAAAGAATGCAGACAGAACTACAAATCCCAGGATTCTCTAGGATGGCACCATAGCGCAGTTCGACATCATTTCAACTGCCATTCAAGTCATTTCTAACTAATGGCGGCCCTATCACCAGGGCTTTTCTCGACAGGTTTCTTCAGGAGGGTTTGCCATTGCCATCCTCTGAGGCTGAGAGAGTGTCACTCAGTGGGTTTCAGTGGCTGGGCCAGGATCCGAACCCTGACCTCCCAACGTCCTCATTCAATGCTCAAACCAGGCTTATTCATGTCAGAGTGGCTTTTATGTGGTGTGTCTGTGTTTTAATTACACTTTTTAACTACCGGTATGTAATTTTATACTATTTTTAGTTTGATGATTTTAATTGTTCTTAAAAATGTAACTGTAAAGCTTTTAAAAAAAACAACTGGGTAGCGCATTTACAATAAATGACGGTTGCCTATGTTTATCTTAATGCCCTCTATGTACTTGGTGAAGCTGTGACTGAGGATAATATATGACTTTTAAAAATCTCATAATTGTAAAGATTAAAACAAAACACTGAATTCTTAAGGTGTTCTTTCGGATCAAATCCAAATGTTTTCCAAGGAAGGCTTAAGTTCGATTTCTGTTAGCAGTTGCCATTGTTTATCTACTGCTGTTCCCTGCCTTGGCGGATGCTTTTTGAAACAGTGGTTTGTTTGCTTGGCACCTTGCGCATATGCCAGCATCTTAAAGAACATGCTAAGCCTGATCCTTCTTTGGTACAAATCAGTCTTGTTCTCTCAGCCCGCTGGGAGCAGGTCTGATCCCAGCTAGTCCTTTGGAGTGTTATTATCAGATTATAACATAGTTCTTTTTTTTTTTTTAACTTGAACCTGAAGATGGAGACGTGATTCCACTTAAAGAAACCCACCTATATAAAAAAAATTCCTCTCAGAAGTTCTGCTACACAAATGAGATGACCCCTAAGTGGCACGATATATGGACTAGGATTCAGGTAAGAACTTTCTGTTTCTTGAAAGTTATCTGAGTCTCAACTAAACTTCCTGTGTGTGTTTAGTTAGTAAAGGTGAAGGTTTCCCTTGATGTGAATGTCTAGTCGTAACCGACTGTAGGGAAACTTTTACCTTTACACACATAGGAAGTTCAGTTGAGGCTCAGGTAAGCTTAGATAAATTCCTATGTGTGTACTTGCAGCAAAAAAACGAAAGAGAACTAATCCTAAATCCTGTAAATCTGCTAAGTAGTTATAGTCAGCTTTTTAGAAAAGGAAAAAAAGAAGAAGAAAGAAACTGACTCATTGTCTTTTGTTTTCTACCCTGGCTGATTCCTGTGGGAGAATGCAGTCGTTCAGATAGCCAGCTCTCAGATTGCAAAAGGCCTTATCCCAGTGCTCTGAACTGGGAAAAGATCAGTTGCCAGTTACAGCAACAGTTGTAAGAAGGGAGCCAAACCAGCTGTTTCCTGCAGATGGCCTGATCCATAGTCTGGTCACAACATTCTGTACCAGTTGAAGTTTTCAAATACAGCCAGCCCTCCATATCCACAGATTCTTTATCCACAGATTCAACCACCCAAAGCTTGAAAATATTCCAAAATGTAGCTTGATTGTACTATTTTATGTAAGGTACACCATTTCACTATGCTATTGTATTTGATGAGACTTGAGCATCCATGGATTTTGGTATCCATGTGGGGCCCTGGAATCAACTCTAGCATATGCCAAGGATCCACTGTAGTTCTCAAAGGCAGCCCCTTGAAGAGTGTGTTACAGTATTCCATACAGGATGTGATTCAACCATGTTTTATCATGGCAACACAGTGGAAGCAAGGGTATTAGCTCTGTACATTGCACTTACAAAAGCAAATTCTGTTAGATTGCTGCTGTTCTTACAATGGGGCTTGGGAACAAGATCAGTGATGGTTATATACAAGGATATCTCTTCTGTTGTAACATGATGTAACTGCTGATCTTTGCAGGCTATTTAGCCTATCCCTATACTATTTATGATTTACCCCACTGTAGTAGTGTTGGCACATTCCCTACATTGTACCAGTCTTCTCACTACTCCTTTGCTAGTTTTATTCAAATTGAGCAATATCTGTATTTCTGATTAAAGGGATACTACATAGTTAACCTTATTGAGTACCTACCTTTTAAATTGTTAGAGTGGGTTGACTAAAAATAGTGAAAAGATTAAAATAGTAAGGCGTTTTAAATGATGCAGTTAACGGGAAGGACCATGTGATGCCCTAGGCACCATTCACTTAGTGCCTCCAGCATTGGAGCAAGGGAGTCAGACTTTCTATGATTGCCATTCACCATCAGTTGCGTTTCCCTGCTTGGATGCTAAATGACAGCAATTTCTCCAATAACAGTATCTGTGATGACTGTTGCTGTGCTCCATCCTAGAGCCAGAGATCCAGAAAGGCCCTTCATCTGTTGAATGGTTTGACTTCTCACAGGAAATGATTTATATCCTGCTCAGTTAATTGTACAGTGAAGTTTAACTTTAGAACAGCGTTTCTTGTTTTGTTTTGCTTTTTGTCTTGGGTGTCTTAATCCTTCATCCTGTTCTTTATTTCTCAAGGGAATATGTGTGTTTTGTCTGTATAATAACTTTGATGATACCAGTCTCTTTCAAGCACCTCTTTCACATTTTATTAGCACTTTCAAAAAATTCTTTATCATCTTCAGTGCTTTTCTCTCAGTCTGTCTGCAGTTGATCATTTAAAGCCAGTGCTTCATAATTGCACCCAGTATATGTTTTGGTTGATTCAAATAGCCTTTCAATGGTGACATTCTGATACTTGTGCATTACTTGGTGTTCTTTCTTGCACTTTGTACAGATCCGAGTAAAAAGCACCAAGATGATCCGGGTCTTCCAAGTTGAAAATGAGGAGAAGCTGAAAGAACTAGAGGAGTTCAACATATGGAACTATATTGGTTCTTTCTTCAAAGAGAAGCTCAATGACACTTACATTAGTGTTGGCCTCTACAGTTATAAAACGTGCTTGAAAGTTGACCCCCTCGAACAATCCTCAGATTACAGTATCACCGTTGCTCGTAGTATGTACTGTTTTACATTGATTGCTGACATGCTGTGGAAGTTGTCTTCTAGTACTGTTAGTGCACTAGATTAGTCTTGTTCATTTCTAATTCTAGGAACAGCATCTGTTGGATCCTCTGGCTGTACAGAAATGAAGTACAGTTGAAGTGTCAGGATTATAAGAATGGCAGGTGGGCTGGTGATGTAATGTGGGACTTTTTAACTACCGTATTTTCCGGCGTATAAGACGACCCCCCCATTTTCCCAGTCAAAATATTGAGTTTTAGCACCTCTATCCTCCTTATCCTTATACCCGGCGTATAAGACGACCCCCCCACTTTAACCACAGATTTTGCAGGTTAAAAAGTAGTCTTATACGCAGGAAAATAAGGTATATGTTGTACTATAAATGGGATTCACTAGAATGCAGTGTTGATGTTAGCATCATGGTGTCTGCGTAACTAAGCAAATGCAGAGTAGTTGTGGATAATTATATGAGGAAATTATCTTGTTCATCTTTCCGTGAACTACAGAAAATATTACTGAATATTTAGTATTTTCCTATTGTGAAGGAGGGTATGCTTGAATGGATTGCTGTTTCTGTGCACTGCAACAGGCAGGCCTTATGGGAAGGAACTTCTATGGACTTCCTCTGTAGGAGAGACTCCTCTCTGACTTCTGATCATGTGTAGCCCCAATACTTTTTATTTCTTCAGTTTGTTTTGGAATCGCCACACAAGATTTAATTGAGTTGGAAAGAGAGCCATTTTAACAGGGTGGTGGGGAGCTTGGAGACCACTGAGCAAGAAAACTCCATTACCTTGCACTATTGATAAGTTTCTCAGAGGACCTTTTTTAGAGGGGCTTGAACCAATTGATGAGCACGCTTAT